AATGGGATCTGACCACACGTTTGGGCAAATATCTGGACAAACATCTAGTCTTCCCGCTCCTCGAGTTCTTGTCCGTCAAAGAGGTGAGACATGACTACCAACTGATCCACTCAGTGGTGGTAAACACGACAGCGGCGGTCAATGCCTTGCCACCAATGGGGCTGTCATTGAAAGCCACGTGTCGTACGCTTTTCAATGTGTCTGAGATTGTCACTGAATTTGATCCAATTGTGCGGTAGATATACGAGGAGAATGAGATCTTGGAGGGCAAACTGGAGCTGTTGTCCAACACAAATATGGTGGACTTCGCGCTCGACGTGTATAAGCGGCTCCACGAGGACGTCGAGCCCCCGCAGCACTTGTTTGACAAGCGCCAGGACGTGGTGTCGCAGATGAAGCACTTGCAGGTCCAGACGGGACCCATGCTTGAGATACTTCTCAAGGATGAGGTGCAGTCCGAGATCGAAAAGTCGCGCGACTCGAGACTACTGTACGAACTCTTGCAGACCAAACACGACGTAAGACACGCTCACCGCCCACTCGCCAGTCAATTGATCCCAAACCCCTCTAACTTACCAATAGATCCCATTCCCCACTACCCCACTATCTCTAAGACATTTGCCACTCTCTTACTGATTGTATTGATGTGTTTGTCTACAGTTCAAGCCTGAAATGATCGGCTATTTGTACAATTTGGCGAAGTTTTACTACGAGTGCGGCAACTACTCGGCGGCCGCGCAATACCTATCCTCCCATCGGATGCTCATCACTCCCAACGACAAGAACTATCTGAACGACTTGTGGGGCAAATTGGCGTCAGAGATACTGATGCAACAGTGGGAGCGCGCGCTCGAGGACCTCAATCGGCTCAAGGAGTTCATCGACACGGCGTCCTTCCCGTCGAGCCTACAGGCGCTGCAACAGAGGACATGGCTTATCCATTGGAGTCTATTCGTGTTCTTCAATCACCCGCAGGGGAGGGAACTGTTGATTGAGATGTTTCTGGAGAAGAAGGGAAATTATCTCAAACAACAGCCGTATCTGAACGCCATTCAGACGATGTGTCCGCATATACTGCGATACCTGACCACAGCTGTCATTACGCATCGCCAGCGGCGGCAGTATATGAAGGATTTGGTGCGAGTGATACAACAGGAGAGCTACACCTACAGGGATCCGATCACCGAATTCGTGGAGTGTCTGTACGTGAACTTCGACTTCGATGGCGCCCAGAAGAAGCTGCGCGAGTGTGAGATCGTGTTGGACAACGACTTCTTTCTGGTCGCCTGTTTGGACGACTTCATCGAAAACGCGAGACTTTTTATATTCGAGACCTTCTGTCAGATTCACGAATGCATTTCCATTAAGTATGACATCCCATACCTGTCTTATTGTCTGTGTGTTTAACGCCTTTCCCTTTACGGACAGTATGTTAGCCGACAAACTGAATATGTCTGGTGAGGACGCCGAGCGATGGATCGTTAATCTGATCCGAAACGCACAGTTGGACGCGAAGATTGACTCCAAGTTCGGACACGTAGTGATGGGAACGCAAGCCGTGTCTCAGTATCAACAGCTCATCGAGAAGACCAAATCCATGGCTATTAGGACTCAAGTGTTGGTTATGAATATCGAGAAGAAGATCGCCAGCAGTTAAGCGGTTCCGACGACAGCCAACACATTCAACCGACACTTGTTTTTGTAGTTTTTTGCTGTAATTTATCGAAAGTGTATTTAAGTTAAGGATTTATTTTGTGGTTATATTTCATGGAAATTAAGGCAAAAATAAAGACATTTTTAAATGAATTTTTGTAAAGTTAATGACAATTATATGCATTGAAATGAATGTCAAATCTAAGGGTCAATTCATACTAATTAGTGACGAAATGTTTGTTTATCTAATTATTTATTTGTATCACTTTTTTATGAGATAAGTATGAATTGATTGAGACATACCGGACGACAAACCAAGGGATCAGCGGTTAGGCGATCGGGACCGATGTCCCCGTCCACCCGTTCCACCGCCACCACCGCCCCGTCCGTCGCGATCAGAGCTCCGATCCCGACGCCCACCGCGCGGACCGCCCTCGCCCTTCTTGAGGCGGGCCTCCCGTTCCTTTTGGAGGCGATCGCAACGTTGGCGTCGCCGGCGCCGAGCGGACCACCACTTACCTCCTCTGCATCACCTTCTTCTGGATGCGGTTCCCGGGGTTTCTGTCTTTTAACCCATATTTCTGATATTTGAATAATTTTTGTGTAATTTTCATAACAAATAAAAAAGTGTATGATTTCAATTAATTTCAATTAATTTACGTTTTATTGATATATTTCATGAAAATTAAGTCAAAAATAAAGAATATTTTGAATAAATTGTGAAATTAATGACAATTATATGCATTGAATTGAAATGAATGTCTAATCTAAGCGCCAAAGCGTGTCCCCAATCACACGAGTTCTCCGCAGTTAGTGATGACCACTTTCTTCGTGGGTTTCCCACTCTTCGTGCCGCACAACTCAATCCTCTTCACCACTTCCATGCCCTGCACTACCTGTCCGAACACCACGTGCTTGTCGTCCAACCACTCCGTATGGGCCGTCGTTATGAAGAACTGGGATCCGTTGGTATTGGGCCCGGAGTTGGCCATCGATAGCAGGCCCGGGATGTTGTGTTTGAGCACAAAGTTCTCGTCTTCAAACTTGCGGCCATATATAGAGCGGCCGCCCGTCCCGTCGCTGTTCGTGAAGTCGCCGCCCTGTAGCTGATGTCACACACCGTTAGTCACCACTCATACAGACCACTCCATACCATACGTTACCATAAAGTTAGGTATAATCCGATGAAAGACCGTATTCTTGAAGCCAAAGCCCTTCTCATGAGTGCAAAGGCACCGGAAGTTCTCACACGTGAGGGGAACGACGTCTTTGCGAAGCATAATCCGAATCCTACCGACAAACTGGCCGTCGATTCGCATATCGAAGAACACGTGCGGATTCGCCTTCAACTTCTTGGCCTCCGGCGAGTCGTCCTCCTCCTCGTCGACCGTCACTTCATCGGCGTCTCGCTTAAGGCCCGCGCCGTCAGCGGCACCGCTCTCTGCGCCCACCTCTGCGTCCATAGGCTTCTCACCGGACTCGCCATCGCCCGCCTGAGCCTTACCGCCATCTGCGGCGAGTGTCTGTCCCGCGTGCTTCTGGAGCCACGCGTCCTCCGACCAGACGGCGCGCGCCGACCCCTCCTTCAGTTTAATGGGTTTCGCGACGTTTACGCGAATCGTTTTGCCGAAGATCTCCGCGTCGTTCATGTTGTCGATGGCAGTCATGGCGTCGTCGGCCGACTCGAACTCCACGAAAGCGAATCCCCTGTGCTTTTGGGTCGCGAAGTCGATCGGAAGGTTCACATCAATGATATCACCGAATGGTATGAACGCCGAAGTGATTATCTTCTCGTCCACCTCTTCGGACAGTCCGCCGCAGTACAGCACACGCTTGTTGGTGGTCGTGGTCATCGTGTGGCCAGTGGTTCCCGACGGGTGAT